GAAACGTCAGGCTTATAATAAACCTCTCCCGGTGAACGCTCCTCTTTCTTCACATCTCTTTTAATTCACATCATATCAGTCACATCTTATCAGTAAGCATTACTACCAAACGATCTTCAAATGGCCATGAAAAATATTCTGCTATGCACTGTCAAAGTTGCCGACGAAGAGTGTAGCATCGAAGCAACGAAGTTTATTTTTCTGACTTAACAAACTCCTCCCCGGCGGCAAGGCGCAGGAAAAGTGGACAAACTTTTGAAACTGACCAATCAGATTGCAGCTAGTCAACGCTATAATCAATACTAGGCTCAGAGTTGAAAACCAGGAGGACAATTCGTGTGAAGAACATAGTCATTTTGTCGCTCTGGACTTCCTACTTCTTTCTCGCGTCGAGTAAAATCGGAAAAACTACAGGACAGATAGTGGTAAAGTTGGCGGTGCAGTGTTATCAAAAGTCAAAACCATGTCAGTGAAAGAGAAAGAATGGGTACCCTATAATCTAGCTTTATTCATTTTAAAATTTACCTGTCGGAACTAAAACGAGGAAGAGAGTGATATTTGCTTAAATGGAATTTTTTCAGATAATAATTTGATGAGAGAGACGTACGCTTTATTTTGAAAACATGGACGGATTGAGTCGGTTTTGGTACTGGCGAGTGACCATTGAGTAGCCACTGCGTAGTTGAGCCAGAGTACAGCGAGTGACCCTCAGAATTTATCGTTCTGAGGCTGCAATCGGAGGTGGATAGTCGCCCAAGAGGACCATGGAGTGGAAACCTCGTTTTTCCTCAACAACGGCTCTCTGGTGAAGACGCTGGAAGCCTGTCTTGGTGGCATAGCCATCAACGGGTAGATTCATGAGGGACGAGGCAACAGCTTCCTTGAGGAGAGCTTGAATAGACGGCCCAACTTTGCGGCTGGGCTCAGGAGCGTGGCCACGATGGTGATTAAGATGGCCGGGTTGCGAGCAGGTCCACAAGAACTGTTGGCCTAAGAGTTGTTGTGAGGGGCGACCGG